GTTTGGACAGAGAAACATGAGTGAAACCAAGTGGTTTTGTTTCAATCAGTCAATTTCAGGTTGTGATTTTTCTTACACTAATGTTTATCATTGAAGCATCTGTAATCTAGACTTGCATTTAAACACTTTTCACTATTTCCATAGAAACTCTTAAAGAAATTATGAAAAGCTATTGCAATTAAGTTTAACAATCTAAATTTTGGGACTTCCCTTTCAAAGCCTGTATTACACTTGTGCACATGGGAACATCTGAAGACAAGAATGAGTTGGCTCCTTTGCATGCTGTACGTGAGGTGATACAACGTAGACTCCTGAGGTTTGCTATTACTAATGGTTGAAATAGCTGCTTGCCTCACTGGCAGCTCTGTTCCCATCCCCAAGACATGGAATGTCATGACAGGTGTCCTTTGAACTACATGTGCCACTAGCTGCGTAATCTATTCTGACACATGTAAGACACAAGCATGACGCCCAATAATTTTAACAGTAGACTAAAGATGGCTACAGAGAAATATATAGTTAAAATACAAACTTCCATCTATGCCAAATTGCCAGATATGGGCAGAGTTAATTTGCACATGTAAGTCTTCCAGTAACATTTTAAAACCCTTATTTGGCAATAAAGCGGCTTCCTTCTCCTCTGTTCATTTGTTTGTTCTTTATATCAATCCTCACTTTCTGTTTAAGTTTGGTTTATTTTGCAATGTATAAAATATGCCTGTCGTCGTGCTTTTAATTCGTGTCCCCATGGCCAATTACAATTAGTATGCCATACATTACCTGTTGAGAAACCAGTAGTTTCCAGTTTGCATGAATCATTAAGTTTAGTAGTGTGTGGATTTGTGAATGGAGCCCTAAAGGTCCGTTGGATGTGATTTTCCTGGACCCTTCAATGAAGAGTAACTGGTTTTGTGCTGCATTCAAAAGGGGAAATTGTTTGGTTTAATACTTGTATTCACTACAGTTAAGTGAGAGGGTTTGTTTTTTGGGAAATATACAATTACGGCACTGCAGTGACCTTAGTTCTGCATAAATCCAAGAATTTTTGAACCCTGGCTGACTTGCTTGTTTTGCTACATCATCCATACTGAGGTATGGGTGAAGCTGTCCAGACAACGTGCATGGTATGGTTTGAAATTTAGCTTTGCAGTAATCATTCAATGGAGAGACAAGTTCAAAAAATGATCTTTTTAAAAATTACCACTTTTTTTACAAATTTATTTTGCACCACTTAACAAAATTAATTACTTTTCATTCAGCTTGGATAACACAAAAGTACAGCTCAGTTTTGCTTACTGTTAATTTCACTTGCTGACTCCTGTTAGCACAGCACATGGAATGTTCTGTTGCAAGCATTCTCTTTTTGACCCTGATGGTAGTAAGGGTTCTAAAACCACTCTCCTTTCATTTTCTAACAAAATGGAAGTTTGGGTGCAAAACATGCTAATAATTCCAATCCTGGTAGGAACTGTGCAACTAAATCAGGTACACTCCTTTAAAATAAAAAAGTGAGTACAGTAGACACCTACAGTGGTATATCTGACTTCTAATTTGCAGAGCCACCTGTAAGACGGGGGATTCTAAAATTCAATGCATTTGAATCTCTACTATAAAGCTATAGGTATAGGAAAATGCATGCATTTGATCATAAAAGGTCAATGTTCTGTTACATAGAATGTGCATGACACCTCTAAATAGCAGGATCCTGCTCCTGCATGTCTATATGAAATATCTCCTATTGTACCACCTTCTGTTAGTGAAAGAGACAAGCTTCTGAGCTACACAGAGTTCTCCAGGTTTAGGAAAGGAGTTATATATGCAATGTAGACATTTAGTAAGAAGAGTTAGTGCAACACAATTGAAGTACACAAAATCAGATTAAACATAGGCAGCTGTTCTTTCCAAAAACATGCTAGTAGGGTAAGGAGCAGTGTATTATTACTACATTGCAATACTTGTTCACTTTTATGCTACCCACTCCCTACAAAAAGAAAAGGAGTACTTGTGGCACCTTAGAGACAAGCCAATTTATTTAAGCATAAGCTTTCGTGAGCTACAGCTCACTTCATCGTAAGTAGCTCACGAAAGCTTATGCTCAAATAAATTGGCTTGTCTCTAAGGTGCCACAAGTACTCCTTTTCTTTTTGCGAATACAGACTAACATGGATGTTACTCTGAGATCTACTCCCTACAAAGGTTAGAGTATCTCTCTCTTTGGTTATGGGCTCTGTGGTGGATTATAATCTGCATTTTTTTTTTTTGAAACAATGATTGTAGCTGCAGTTGCAAAAAATACTTTAAATAGTACAATGGTTGTTTGTGAATCCAAAGCCTTAACATAATTTGGAAAGTCAAAATAGCCTAGAGCAAAATGACTGAAAGATACTCTAACCTCTCTCCCTCCTGCAACAAAGGTACAATTTAAGCAAGAAACTGAAAGTGAGGTTAGACACCTGCATTTGTGTATTATTCCTCTGCTTCTGTATTTAAACACCTGGAAACACTAAAACTAAATTAGAAATTGCTTCATGTGCTTGTGTTTAAAAAAAAAAAAAATTTTTTTTTTAAATGGCGCACTTGCCTTTTGCTTGGTTTAGCCTGTTTCTTAGAACAACATTTGGATTAAGGTTAACAAGTAAGAAACGCTGGTGGAGTGGTGTTATAAATCCAAAGGCATTTTAAGGGCTTGATCTAAAGCCCATTGAAAAAACTTCTTTGGCCTTCAATGGATTTTTGAACCAGACTCTAAATATGAAACTGCAATTGTAGCCTAAACTTGACTGGGTGAATGAAAAATAAATCATGCTGGACTGTCTAGGTAATTATTTGAAATGCCTAGTTCTTTAGATGAGGAAGTTTGCCCCTACAAGCATTTTTGGCAACATAGGTTGCAGAGGGGTTGAATAGCAAAAATTATTACTTAGTTTTCTGACTGTTCTGAAGCCAGGCAGCCCCTGTTTAGAGAATTCAATTAATTACAGTAGTTGAGCTGTTAATCAGTCTGGCCGGCATGTGCTGCACAGGTGGGCTGGTTTATAAATCTTTCTAGGGGGGAATAAGTCCCTATTTTATTAATTCTAAAAAAGAAGTGGTGAAAAAGTGAGTCTTAGGCTGCAACTGCAACCTGAAGTTCTTTCAAAATAACTAATCCACTCCACCTTTTGCTAATCAGTACATTTAGTTTCATGCCTAAAGCAGAAGGATTATTCCTTTGGCCCTAGGGGAGCAAAATTGGTTATAAGAAAATATGTTGTATAGAAACAAAATAAGTAACTCGAAAAGCACCCCCCACCCGAGGAGTAATAGCGCTGACAGGGAAAACACCCATGCCAAGTTTCAGCCTTCGGGGACTATTTTTGATGGTCTAGTTGCTGGAAAACAGGTGTGCTGACAGACATCTGCTGTGTTAGAGCTAACTAAAACGCCACCTTTGTAATTAACAATCGTGCCGTTGGATGTGCTGGTTATTTATAAAGGCACACCTTGCAGGCGTTTGTTCTTCTATCCACTCACAAGGTAGGTATGGATCTGGATCTTAAGTTATTTTAGGAATATGATCCTGAGAATTTTAAAACAAGAATAGAGCTATGCAGGTGGTCGCCTGCAGCCCAAGTATCATACTAACATAGAATAACCTCGAGTTAGTATTTGAAACTAAATTAATTTAAACTACACTTGGGGGGAAAAGTGGAACTGGGCATGGTTACTCTCCAATCCTTAGTTCAAGACCAATGTAACACTGGGTTCTGGCATGTCTGCGGCTGAGCTACAGTCACCAGCCAGGGGCCCGTTCTCTCAGAAAAGGGTCTTTCACGTGGGACGATTCTAAAACTTGTTACTTAAACAAAGAGGGGGCGGGAAGCGCCGGAGACGCACGAGATGAAATGGAAAGGCACGGTCGTGCAACCCTCACTTTGTCCTTTGTTGACAGCACTGGAGTCGGGAAAGGAGTTAGCATTTCACAGCTGTGGCCCCGTCCATGGGACTGGATAGGACATGCTGACGCTGTACAAGTCCGCTGCTCTATGCAATTTATCCAGCGCTGTGACGCCTCGTGCAAGGATCTTGCCTCGCTCCAGTAGAATAAAGTCTGACTTTTTGTTTTGTAAGTTGTTCGGAGAGAGGTCCCACCCCGTCCCCCCTCTCCCTCCCCAAAGGCGAAGAACAACACTGCGCCTGCTCCCCGTGTTGCTACCTGCCCTGACCTGCGCTAAGAGATGCAGCCTGGTGGGCATCTTACAGGGAAACAGGCTTCAGAGTAGCAGCCGTGTTAGTCTGTATTCGCAAAAAGAAAAGGAGTACTTGTGGCACCTTAGAGACTAACCAATTTATTTGAGCATGAGCTTTCGTGAGCTAAGCTTATGCTCAAAAAAACTGGTTACTCTCTAAGGTGCCCCTAGTCCTCCTTTTCTTTTTACAGGGAAACGACTCTGTGCATGGCAGGCAGGTGCAGGCGCCCTCCCCGCTCTGCCTCCTCTGATCACGGGCTCGGGGGTGCTTGGAGACCTTTGCGCTGGGGCCTTCCCGCGCCCGGAGCATGCTGGCGGGGCGGCGGGGGGGGCTCTGAGTGCACCCAGCGCCTGCACGCTGGGCCCGGGGTGACCCTGCAGGGAGTCTAGCGCTCCAGCCAGTGGCAGAGGAATAGCAGCGACCACGGAGGCTCCCCGGGGAACTGCGGCCCTTCGCGGCTTCTCCCGCGCCCCAGACGGCTGCGGAGGGGCGCCGAGCCGCTACGAGCTCGGCCCGGCCCCGCCCCCCAGCCTGACAGGTGCTGAAAAGCCCCGCGGCGGACTGCTTGGGGGGCGGCGGCGGCTGGGGCATGGCTGGTGCTGGAGGGGACACCCCGCAGCAGGGGGACGGGCCTGGGAAGGCAGCGCCGAAGGCCACCCTTCTGCCAGAGGAGCCGCCGCAGGAACAAGCGCTCGGGCGGTCCGCAGAGGAGGTGAGCGGCTGTGCCTGCCCGCCGGGTGCCCAGCGTCGCCCCCGGGGGCTGCTGGGCTCGCAGGGCTCTGACCTCTTTTGCTCCAGGCCCTTTCCCCCACCTGCGTCTGAACGAGCTCGCCAGGGATCTGCCTGAGCCTCTTCCGCGCAGTGTCCCAGAACTATTCCACGCGCTCCGGCTAGCGGAGTGCTCTTGCCGCAGCGCGGGCGGGCGGCCCCTGATGGTCTGAGATGCTTGAGTGGATTCCAGTGATCATCCTCTTTTGGTGGACTCCCACCCTGTGCAATGTGACCGAAAAACCTCAGATCCGCAATGAACGGTGACTTTCCAAACCTCCCCCCCCCACCATGTAATTTTATTACTTTCCCTAAATTCCTGCCCCTCCAAGAATAAACTTCTTGTGTGGCAGCTTCTGAGGCTGCACCTCCTTGGGGGAATCCGAAACACGAGACGAGGCTTTTATTGAAAACTTTGTCACCAAACAGAAAGCAGAATTGGAGTGGTTTCTATGTCCGAGATGTTATATCCACTTGGACTTGAGAGAACAGATAGATATGTATGTATTCTTTGCATGGATCATTTTTCCCCAAATGCTGGATGTTTGCAGTGTTGTAGCAGTGTTTGTCCCAGGATATGAGAGAGACAAGGTGAATGAGGTAATATCTTTTATTGGACCCACTTCTGTTGGTGAAAAGGATAGCTTTTAAGCTACACAGAGCTATTCTTCAGATATTTTCAAAGTGTTTCCACAGAAATTCTTCACTCTTATCCCTTAAAGTTGTGCTGTGCTCAGGATATCTTTTTTCAGGAGCAAAGTGCCCAGTGTATCTCACTGCTTGGTTATAGTTATGGAGGGAAATGGAGTAATTCTTCATCCATCTTCTTTGTGAGCAGATTTCCCCTGTAACAGAGCAAGAGACACAGACTGAAGGGTAGAATTTTGGGGGGAACCCGTTTACTATGTTGTTTGTAGCATATGACTGGAGAAGTGTGTGTTGAGAGATCTAACAATATTCCAGGAAGTATTTGTATCTTCCTAGAATGCAGTTTTCCAGGGAGGCAATAGCTATAAAAGAAGATGAATATTTCTGTTTAAATTGCTACATGTGTGCATTTGTCTATATAGATACGAGCATGTGCATTCAGTTTAAAAATGGGACTATTGTTCCATTAATGGTGTGAGAAAATTAAGTACACAAATTGGGAAATGCAGTTAAAACTGAAATATCAACCTTTCTACACAGAAGATTGCAGGGTTAAAATGTCATCATTAATATTTATCCAGTAATACATTATAAACTGGAATCTGATAGGCAGCACCATATACAGCTTTGTAATATGCCATATCCAGACTGAGAAAACAACTTTTTCCAAGGGAAAATATCAAAATGGAATAAACCATCCCTTTAATTTCTGCAAATTCATCTGCAGAGTTAAATACATGTTGAGAGACAGGGTGGGGGAGAACCATTATACTGGGAAAGTTTCTCATCATGTGTTGAATCAGATAAACCTTGACTTAAACTATCTTAAAGTCTCAGCTGCTGCTATCCCTTCCCATTCCTCTTAAACCACTATTGGTTTTGTTCTGGACCTGCTTGATAAAGAAGAGCTTGTGACAAAATGTGTGTTCACCCAGCCACAGTCCATCCAGCAACTGAAATGTTTTCTTCCAGTTGCACAGGATTGCTTTTGCTAGTTGTCTTCTGTACCCATGAACACTTCTTAATAGTATTCTATTCAGTTTCAGTTCATATTAGTGAAGGAAGTAAAATTCCCAAGAAAATGAGATATATGTATTCAGTTACAGGATTAAAGACTATTATATATTAGATTTCAGAGTAGCAGCCGTGTTAGTCTGTATTCGCAAAAAGAAAAGGAGTACTTGTGGCAAATCCGATGAAGTGAGCTGTAGCTCACGAAAGCTTATGCTCAAATAAATTTGTTAGTCTCTAAGGTGCCACAAGTACTCCTTTTCTTTTTATATATTAGAGAGACTTTCAAACTTACCTGAATTAAAAAACATCCACCATTGATCCACCATTCTACTTCAGAAGTGGAAGCGCTCATTTTCTGTTAAAACTTCTTGCTTTATCTTAGATTCATAGATCTCATGGCCAGAAAGGACCATTGTGATAATTTAGTCTGACCTGCTGTAAAAAACACAGGCCATAGAACTTCCCTAAAATACTTCCAAAGTGTATCTTTTAGAAAAAACATCCTATCTTCATATAACAATTGTCAGTTATGGGGAATCCACCATGACCCTTGGTAAATTGTTCCAATGGTTAATTATTCTCACTGTTAAAAATTTACTACTTATTTCCTGTTTGAATTTGCCTGGCTTCAACTTAGATACATGTGATTGTTTCATTATTGTACTTTATACAATTTTTAATTGTACTGTAGTAAGTGCAGGGTTTCAAAGTGGATCTGAAGATAATAAGGAAAGAGGCTCAATCTTTCTTGCCCTAGTCCTCTTCCCCCTGCTCCCATTTTTAAAAATAAATCTTCAGGCTGGAGCTTTCTCTCCCTTCGCCCTTCTTCCGAAACAATCTGTAGAAGCAACTTGAGACTTAAATAATTTTGTTCAAATACAACTTAAAAAATCTCTCAAAGCAAGCCAGACTTTCTTTCAATCCAGAGAAGCATGAATGAAGAATGAACTTAGTGAATGGCTAATTCTCCTGTTTAAAAACATTGGGTTTATGGACTATTATGGTTACTTGTATTACAGCTGTGCCTAAAGGCTCCATATTGAATTAGAGCCCTGTTGTGCTGAGCAGTGCACAAACTCATAGAAAGTGTTCCTCTTCTGAAGAGCCCAGAGTTTAGTTTTTGAGATAAGAAGCAATGAGTGGGTGGCATTTACAAACAGAAGGTGAGAAAGAGAAGGAAGGATGAGAGTAATGTTGATTTAAAATCATGCTTGCAAACCTTTGTAACAGAAGCTCATGTAGATCTGGATTGCAAGCGTGGCACCGTCTTATCATGTTGATTTGTGCCTTGGGTGTGAGCAGGCTCAGTGATGGTGAGGGGAAAGGGCCAAATCTAACCTGGGATTCTCTTGCAATATATGATCTGTGTTTAGCAATGCCAGAGTAATTAGAAAGCTCTTTGGGTGCAATTCATCGGAGCCTACCACTGATGTCACAGTCCAGTCTGGCAAAACAAATACAAGGAGAAATTGGGACTGCATGCCTCTGAGGTGGAGCGCAGTTTAAAATGCTGACAACAGAAAACTGAGACAAGGATAGCACTTAATTCCTGGAGACCAGTGGGTCACTGTGTTAGGCACCATATGACAAATAACTGAAACTTGTTCCCAGCCTGTTACATCTTGAAATCTAAGTTTAAGATGAGTCAATAGGTGGATATAATAGATAGGGGTCAGGCATAAGATAACAGTGAGACAGTTATCAATAGTGAAATAAGCAGTGGTCAAGCACCCAAGCTGTCTAATCACTGTCAAGTATTTGGCAGGTGGCCCAACATAGGTGAGTTTAAAGGAGGGTAATGAAGTGGCCTGGTGCATTTTTGCAGGGAGCTTCTTCTCTGCACACAGCCAGTATGGAAGAAAGTGTGAAAGTGCATGTTGAAAATTTTCAAATGGGCAATCAAGTGTGGAATCTTGCAGTTTATCCTTATATTTAAAAGGCAATGTTAAAAAAAAATCCAGCTTTCTGGATATCCTGTAAAGACCTACCACTCTAAGCCTTTCTACAAGAAAATGTCTAATACACTTCTTGTCCTTTATAAAAACAATGTATTTGTGCCATGGTAACATCTAGAGGTGTCAGCCAAGATCTGGAACCCATTGTGTGAGGCATTTGTACAAACCCAGAGTAAGACACAGTCCCTGCCTCTGTGAAATAGATAAGACACATAGGGTGGGAGAAAGGAAGAGTTATTGTTCCCATTTTAGAGTTAGGAGTACTGAGACTCAAAGATTAAGTGCTTTGCCTAAGGCCACTGAGGAAGTCTGGCAGAGTCCTACCCAAAAGACCATCCTTTGTCCCAGTGTAAATGCCGTGAGCTGTTCAATGTGGACATACAGTTTCAAACCTTTGCAGTGTTGAAGCATGTAGTAATGCACAACTGTATGTTCAAGTGTCGGGGCCAATTAAATCTCTAGTGAAAAATTAAACATAAAGGGGGGGGGATTTGCACCCCAAGTATGAGACTTTCAAAAGTGTTCATCTCAGCATGCTGCTCAGAACTCTTTTTCCCCTTAACATACAACACTCTTAAAACAAGAAGCCTCCTGTGGGGGAAGCAGTATCCTCACTGTACAGATGGGGAAAGTAAGGCACAGAGTGCATTAGAGCAATAGTTAGAATTTAGGAATTCCCAGCCATTTACTTTAACCACTAGATTCACTGCCTCCAACACCATAGCCCCACTTCTAAGGCTATGAGAGGCAACATAGTCTAGTTGAATGAGCACAGGAGTCAGAAGACCTGGTTCTAATCCCTGCTGAATCTTTGGCAAGTCATTTAACTTCTCTGCCTGTTTCCTCATCTGTCCTGTGGCTTATTACTTGCAAGGACAGATGAGAATTGTTTGAGCAGAGCTTTAAACATGCAAAACTCCCTATAAGTGAGTGATATTGTACTGAATATAATTAGATTCCAGGAGCTCATTTTATTCAAGCAATGGCATACATAGCTATAGACAAAATTAGTCACAGGTGAAAGCCTCCATTAACTGCTGCTGAGACAAAAATGTTAACTTTGCTTGAAGGTGATCTGTAAGTATGCTACCCAAGCAGCCTGGCAGTTTCTAGAAGGGGAGTAGAATTTCAATGAGACTTCTGAATCAAAAAATGCAAAAGTATTGAGATCCTTAACTTTCTAGCCGTGAAGCTGACTGGAGAAATGAGAGTTGCTTACGGTCTATAAGTCTAATTTTTTTTATTTATTGCTAATTATTTCACAATGTAATATAATTATTCTAATTGCAAGTTCTTAAATATGAACTAGGGGGGACTGGAGCTTCTATATAATAATTTTGAATACGGTATGTCACCTAGTCAGTGAGGTGAAGTTACTGTACGGCAAAGTCTAATAACTCAATATAAGTCAATTAATGCATTGGTCTAGTTGAATAGAAAAACATGTAGGAAAGCAACACAATGGATCCTGACAAAGAGCCTCCCAAGAAATACTTAGTGGGAAATTACAGGATGATGGACTACTTCCAGACTCCAGCCCAGATTAACACAACTGTTTTGCCAGTGCTGTGAGCCGACAGTTCAGAGGGCTATAAACAATAAAAAGTGACTTAGTCTCTGGGCAAGGGGGGTGATGAAAAAGATTGAGCAGCTTTTAAAGGACACTCTCTCTGAAGCAGAGGGAAAGGAACTGTCTTTTAAGGGAACAGATTATGCCACCCAGATGCTAATGCTCTCTGTATGGGAGAGAAGGGAAAGTAGGAACCTTATACCTAACAGGATCCCCTGCTGAGGTAATCATGGTTAGCACATGGGGACTGCCGCTCAAGGCATGGTCGGAGAGTGGAAGAATCGTGTGATTCCACTCCGAGAGAGATGATAGCTTGGGGCCCAAGATGTGAAAGGTATATGTACTCAAAGAGACCCAGAGGGATCGGAGATGTAGTTAGACCAGTAGCTGTGATTTGTACATGGAGATCTTGCTCTTTATCTGTACAGCCATCTGACATCACTCAGAAACAAAGAACTTTCATAAAACTAATACACTTGTTTACCTATTTATATAGAATAGTTCAAAGGAGCAAGGCCAGATCTTGAAAGATTCTGTTGTCTATTAGTTCTTTATCAGTAAGTACTCTATCACCTAATTAAAAATAGCTGATACTGTACATTAAAAATGCTTTCAGAAATAGGTAATACATATCAGAATAATAAAGCATTTTATTGGCGCCTCATCATTTTATTATCTTAATCTGACTGCAATGGAAGAATGAGGGTATGTACATTCAATCCAGATATTTGGCCACAACCAAGGCAGACCTAGGATTAGCATTGGTATTGGAAGGAACTTGAAAAGAATCAACAATTTTTTAAAGAGGGATTGAATTTAACAATTAGAATTCTCAGAAATAGTTTTAGTCAGGGTCTTAGTATGTGGCCCCCATGGTGACTGACACTCTATACTAAGATTAGTGTGTGGATATTTCCCACCTATGTTTTCAGCTAACACTAATACAGTAAATTAGAGCTTTTAGAAACATATTCCAATAATGTGCCATTTTCCCCTCTGAAAACATGTTATCTTTCATCTATTAGACTCCTAACACTTTGTCTCTGAATTATTATTTTTCGTAATAGGGAACAATAACTTATTCTGTTTCTTGATTTTTCTGCCAGTTACTTTCAGTCTAATATGAATATTTTTTGCTTAGCACTTTTCATCCATACATCTCAAGGTGCTTCAACAAAGATGGACAAGTATCTTCAGGTAAAATTTTCAAAGTGCCTAAGTGATTTAGGAGCATAACTCCTACTGAAAAGCAATGGGGCTTAGGCTCTGAAGTCACTTAGATGCTTTTCAAAACTCTCCCCATTCTGCCTATTTTTTTAACTGATGGAGTAACTGAGGCATAGAGAAGTTAAGTAACTTGCCCAAGGTCACAGCACATCTCACAGTATAGGGAAAAATGCTGGAGGGGCCCTTAATGTCAAGCAGCTTGCTTTAATTTAAATAATAGTGAGAAGCAAGGGGGTCACAAGACAGAAGTCAGGTAGCCCCTAGAAGAAGTAAGGGGGCCCAGAGTCCTGCAAAACTTCCTGTAATTCAAAAACTGGACCCAGACCTTCTGAGTCTGTGTGCAGAGCCTTAACTGAAAGACCATCCCTCCTCTCTGAATATTGTCTAAGTAGAATAATATGAGAATATTTATTGATTTTTGTGGTCTGAAAGAATAGATACATACATAAGCAAAAAAAAGTTTGATATCCGATAATTACTCAACATTTTGCCATCTGAATAATTCATTTTTGGGCAGAGATAACACCGTCCCTCAGCAAGTCATCCAAGACCCAGGAGCTGCCCCATAGATAGTGTCTATACACTACAAAGTCTGCCTGATTGCTTCTTATCGTGTGTTCATGGACTCACTGCACTTGAATGGTCCATGCTCACTTGCGGCCTCTAAGAAGTGTGCTTTTCAGAAATAGCTCACGGGAAGTCAGTTTACCTGGACTCCAGTTCTGGTAACTTGGAACAGGCACTGAAAGCTGAATCACAGTGTTCAAACTTGGTTTCCTGAAGTAAAGAATAGCAGCCAGTAGCCTGATTCTCAGTGGTTCTGAACACTGAAGTCAGTGGGGTCTCTGGATATTCAGCACCTATGAAAATGCTGAATATCAGACCACTTAAATAAGTGCCTGAATATGAGTTTAACCATAAACTTGTGAAACTTTTAATGTTTTGCATTTTCTCTTAACTTGTCTGTTCTTGTTCTGTTTCAGCTCAGACAGGAAGACAGACTCTCAGTTTGCAGCAAATTATGCTATGCAATAGGAGGCGCTCCAAACCAAGTTGCTACAAGTGCCACTGCTTTTTTTCTACAGATCTACCTGTTAGATATAGCACATGTAAGTAATGTGCAAAGTGCTTTCTGGCTCCAACTTTGTTCAATTACGATGTCATCACCTACTTAATTTTCCTGTATCTAATATCAAGATAATTCAACTCATATGCCTTTTAACTATATTCTGTTGTTGTTTTTAATTGTTCAGCCCTTGTGGAAACTCTTTTCAGCTTAGTGACAAAACTTATTTAGTAATTATGCTTGATAAATGTAATAGTGTGGTAATGGGTGCTTGATTAGCTGGTCCTTATTTGTTTAATTGTTTGTCGGTCCCACTAAATAAACATGAAGGAGCCATTTGTTCCACAGTTTCTCCAGCAAAGGTCTTAGCTCCACTTTTTCCCCCTCCCCTCAACTTTTTAGGGGTCAAATACCTCATTTTACAAGGATTACGTGGAATTCTTCCCCACGCAGAGCCATTCTCTTCCAAATCGTGGCAGTGCTGTTCCTGTGGGATTACGAAGCCCACTATGTGAAATCTTTTATGTTCAATCTGAGCCATTTCCCAATAAATTAACATTCAGAGTTAACCCTTTGCAGCCTTCAGTTTTACCATTAGAATTCCATCCATCTAATTTACCTGCATAACCTCTGTAGGTATGTATATAATCCCACACCACCTAGAAACCTTAGACCAAATTTAGAATTGCTGTAAGGAGCTACGAATTGCACACTCTTACAAGCTGGTGTGAATTTTGCCCTGTTGTATTTTAATATTTGTATAATTGAATTTAGGGCCCTGGCCATGGTAAGCACTGTGCAAACATGTATACAGAGACAGATCGCATGCTAGAAAGTTTATCATCTCTCCAAGTTTTCCTTCACACTCTATGTGCTAGTCCAAAATCCATTTCCTTGCTATCCCTTTGTGTTTTCTGAGCAATGCCAGTGCATGAACCTTCTCATCTGAAGCTGTCTGTGTGCTCCTCATCACCATAGAATCTGAGCACCTGTATCTGTATCTCTTTGGCTCATTGACTATCTCATTTCTAAATTCAGTGGAAGTTTATACCTTTTATCCCCCATCCATGCCTCTTAAATCCCTTCTCCCGCTGTTATCTAATGGAGCTGGATGGAAAATAGTAAATATTTTTGGTGGAAAAAATTCCAAAAAAATGACTTTTGGGGTGAACATTTTTCAGTTTTTCCAAAGGGAAAAAACCCAAATATTTGCATAAATTTGTTTAAGAATAAAGGCCATTTTTTGTTGTTGGAAAAAAGTTTGGATGGAAAATTTTCAACCAGCTCTTATTTAATATTAAACTGTTCAGTCACTATGATTTAACTCTAACATAGCTTGGGATAAATTTTGTATGAGACATGCAATGCAAATGTGTGCAGTGTCTGCCTTTAACAAATCATGCTGTATATCCTTGACATTTCAAACCGTATCCTCACTTTGTCTGTCTTTGCTCTTCCCTTCCCATTGAAACACTGAAGAGCGGAAGAATTCGTAGGCAGTCTCGTTAGGCAGCTCCAATCTCAATAAAGGTTTTGAGCAAAACCGATGATATGCATGTTGAAATGACTCTCTAGTCACTTAGCTTGGTGGCAAGGGAATGTCGGGGTAACTAGAGCAGATCCCACCTTACGTGCTCACTGCTCTCTTCATACCCCATGACTGTGTTGTCTGTGTGTGAATTCTTGCACTTAGTACAGATATATGTAGGAATGACTACATCCCACGTAATTAATCATAATCTGAAAAATACACATTTGCTTGGTAAATTTCTTTTTTTTTTCATTTGATTTTATTTTTTAATGTGGGAAAACTTTAAAATGTGCTTCATTTGACCAATGTGCTCTCTTCTGTTCTTTGGCATATACTGGATTTAAAGGTAACAGTTTACATTATTCACATGTGACCCTAACTGCAACTGTTATTGAAAAACGAACAAACTAGATGTATTCCAAGTCATCCAAATTAATCTCACTCTGGTTTAGTTGGAAAAAAAGTTGCACACAGAAATGTTGTACAGAAAATACAGAATAAGCATTTGGAAGAAACAGTACTATATTGGAGTATTAACTCTAGTAGTCACAGTTCAGTTCTTTGTAGAAATAAGCCCATCATGCCAAAACCACTTTCACAATTAGTACCAGTTGGCACTCTTATAGGTAATGTCAATAGAGATACTAAGGACTGAATGGACATGGGAAATGAACTATACTCTTGTCTGCTTCAGCTCAGGAGCAGAAATTTAGAAATGGGGTCTTGTGGGAGAAGCTTACCTTACCTCTACTTCTGCGGTACCTGGTTTTATGATTAAACCACAGACTTCAGTCTCCAGTGTTGTCTGGCTGACACCTCTCCCCAGCATTATATTCAACTATGATCTTTCTCTCCTCACCTTGCTCCCATCACGCACATTCTCTCTTGCATAGTGCCTGTATCTCAGTGTCTAGTTTGTTGTCTCCCAAGATGCATTGATGGTGGAGGGCTATTTATTCATGATTTTTAATAGTAGTCAATGTGTGTTGTAAGTGAGCTATCACTACACTTTACGTAAAACACTGGGATTCTTTCTGGAAAGTTGCTTTATGTTGTTCCATTGAATGATGGATCTTGTTTAGAGCACTGTGTCTATACTTTCAGATTACTCCGTTTCATGCCTCTTTGGTGCTGTTCATTGGCAAAGCCTGGGGCGCAGTTACTGATCCTGTTGCTGGCTTTTTTATTAGCAAAAGTAAATGGACAAAAATTGGCCGTCTTATGCCTTGGTAAGCAGAAAAATATTTTGTTCTGTTTCTTGTTTTTTTCCCCTTTTTTCTCTTTCCTTTAATCCTATAATGGCTTCATTGAATTAAACCTTTTATTTTTTTCCTTGCTTTTGCCTTTCTCAAATTAGACTGATTTTAGTATGGATAGAATTAATATGTAAAAAACTCCACTCTTTTCTGCTTCCTGTTTTCAGCTGCACCTCCATAAATTACAACAAGGGGCTTTCTTGGAAGCTCCCTGAAGAAACCACTCAACTGTTTAGAGATGGGCCGAAACTGGAACCTCAAATCCAAAATCTTGTTGAATTTGGGTGGGAGAGGATCTGAACCTCCAGATCTGACCAAACCCCTTTGTGGTTTTGATTCTGAGTTGGATTCTGCATCAAAAGGGCCTTATTTTCCACTTCTGGTTCAGATACATCCAAACTGTTGGAAGACTAGTCATTCGTTAGATACTTGTTTGAGCCCTCACTCCGGCACTGCACCCATCTCAATCCCACTCCTTGCATGCAGGCTTGGCTGGAGCTCACCAACTCTAACATGGTAGGCCTATGGACCCAACAGGGTATGTCTCAGGCCACCTCGCTGAGCTGCTTGCACTGCCCTAGTGGTCAGTTCTGTTCTCATCTCGGGCAGTGCAGGATCTTCCCCTGAATGTCAGCATTCATCCCAGCTCAACACAAGCCAGTCCCACCAGCCGTTTCCGCACACCTCTCTGGACTCTTTCTTTACGTCTTCACTATTGGCCCCCCTAGTTAAAACATTTAATTGGAGGGTGAAAATTGTCATGATTTTTAACAAGGAACCAACTGCTGGAAGAGGTTGGGGCTGCCAGCATTGTCGTAGTTCGCAGAACTTCATTCCCCCTTTTCATATTCCCACCTCAAGCAGCTAAATGTGGTGCAGCTGCAGTTCCAGCATGCTCAGGGGCTCTGGTCCTGCTTGAATTACTCTCCTCTGAAGCACACTAAAGCCCTTAGACAGCTCTCACTCTATTCTGACCTTCACTAAATCCGTATGTAACAATGAAAAGCAAGTATCACATACACTTTCCATGTGGTGTAAGGAGGGGGGAGATATACCCTACTGTTGAACAGAAATATAAATATTACCAATGGGGGAAGGAGGGTGAAAGGTGGGACGGTAAACTGGAAAAGGATGATGCATGTTTCAGGACCCAAACGCTCCCATGATGTGTTGTGGATTTTTTTTTCCCTTTTAAAAACAAAAGGAAACTGGATGGCTTATGGACTCTGGAGTCTTTTGCTTTTGTCGCTGATTTCAGTCTCATAGATTCAAAGGTGCTACTGTCAGAGTCTTTGAGTTAGTGACTAGACCTGTGCAAATAACTGATTTCCCCCCAGTTTGTTGTTTAATTGGAAAATTAAAAACAAATAAACAAAAAAATCCAAGTCGACCCAAAAGAAATTGTTTTAATTTTTAGTGAACTGAAAAACTTAAAAACAAATGTTTCATATTGAACAAAATGTTTAGTTTGAAAGAATTATTTTTTACCTTTTTAAAATAAAGTGAAGTAAAATTTCAAATGAAAAATTGTTTTGAATTGAAAAATCAAAATACTTTGTTCATTCACGAGCACTAAACTCACTGTATGAAAAAAATTAACCTAGAAAAAAATCATGATGCGGTAGGGTGCATTTTATAACCCAGTGGTATTAGCTGTTTTCAGAATCATTTCTCAGTTCCGTTATACCCTGTAAATATGGTCTGTTCAGGAGAAAGAATAGTGTTAGAATGACTTGCGGCCTAGCATCACATAGACTTATCAGCCCCTTGCATTAAACTCCCTAATGTACAACTTGCACTTACACTTCACTTATCTAATCAGGCCTTTAAAATACACTTGTCAAACTGCCCTTGTTTTTCTGGAGGAATTTTTTTTAAATGTCACGTTATCAGGGAAAACTCTTTAACCCTATAACAGGGGTGGCCAACCTGAGCCTGAGAAGGAGCCCCAATTTACCAATGTACATTGCCAAAGAGCCACAGTAATAAGTCAGCAGCCCCACATCAGCTTCCCCACCCTGCTCCCAGTGTCTCCCGCCCACTGGCAGCCCCAGCGATCAGCGCCTCCCCCTCCCTCCCTGCATCTCCCAATCAGCTGTTTTGTGGCGTGCAGGAGGCTCTGGGAGGAGAGGGGAGAGGGCGGACGAGAGAGCGCACAGCAGGCTTGAGGGAGGGAAGGGGTGGCGTGGGGGCAGGGCCTGTGGCAGAGCCAGGGGTTGCGCAGTGAGCACCCCCCAGCACACTGGAAAGTTGGCGCCTGTAACTCCAACCCCGGAGTCGGTGCCTATACAAGGAGCCGCATATTAACTTCTGAAGAGCCGCATGTGGCTCCGGAGCCACAGATTGGCCACCCCTGCCTATAATATATAGCACTGCCCATTTCCACCAATTGAAGACCTGGTATTGTTTTTCTAATTAGCTTAAAACACCTTTTCTTGGGGTTTGATTTGATTAATATTTGTAGAGTGAAATTATTACAGCCATTTAAGTTTTTAAAGTGAACTAGGGAATTATGCAAACTTCACTCCTTGCCCCATCTGACAGGTGTATTTAATAAAGGAGGAGTCGTTTTTTTATTTTAAAAAAAAGGTTAGGGTTTTATTTAATACAGTAACAAGTCATCAAAGTGTTGGTCGTCTTCTTTGTATATCGTGTGATGTTTCAAAGGAATGCGCAGGTGCTGGGATAAAGGATACTAACACAAAATGTTACACATTAGTTTCCTTGCAAGGGGGGACCACAGATAGTCTTGTGATTCATCACGTCATTGAATCACATGCCTAACTTTAAGCATGAGTATTGAAGTAAATGGGGAAGGAAAAGTGAAGGGTTAGAGGGGGAAAAACAAGAAAGACAGTTATTTTTGTGAAGTAGCACAAAAGTTTGGTGTAAGAACCATTCTGAGTCCAATGTAATGGTAGCTGTAGCTGAACAAAATCTGAACATGCCTTGGGATGCTTCGATCACATCCTCGTTTACTGCTTCAAGAGCTGACCCAGTATGAGCGGACTGAGCTGTGACCTAGAAACCAGGAAAGGCAGAGAGTACCAGAACCTGGCTACTTTCCTTGTTACTCTACACATTCAGCTCCCAGTGTTGCCTTTCATCCCATACAGCAGTGTGGAAGAGCCATTGTTTTGCTGAACTATTTACCTACATTATTCTTTTGTAGTCCACTTTTTCAATACACCATTGCAAAATAAGCAGCTGACCCCAATGTCAATAGGAGAAAACTGTGAGAATAGGCCTGTTGTGAAGGGATTAATCTGTTTTCTCTTTTGTTTGAATTTTTATTGTGACCTTGGTCATCTAATTACATTGTTTAATGTCTGCTTTGCAAGAATACTGGAGAACACTGCTGCTGCTGCCAGTCATGCTGTGTGGAATGAATTGCATTTGATACAATGAAATTTGAAAATAGTGTTGTTTGTCTGATAGCCTTATATTAACTTGGCATATTGCTGCCTAGTGGCTATACCTTGAATTCAAGTTTCCATGATATTTTTTTTAAAACCATCCTTACTCATTAGGGGGCTGAACCTGCTGCTATTGGAGTCACTGAGAGTTTTTCCACTGACTTAAATGGGAGCAGGCTTGTCCCTATAATTGTATTTCACAGGAATGGACAAACATAGATCCTAGGCAGTGCTACAATGTGATACATGGCTGCCCCTCACCTTTTATACTGTCTCCAAACAAGTGAAAAGGAGTCTATTACGCTGAAACGTCAGGTCAGCAGTGAAAAGGCTAAGCTGAGAGGAGAGTTGGAGGTGCCAACGGGGGGAAAAAAGACCCTTGATAATAAAGAGGCTTGTCTGGCTGTTGGTGAAGCATGTTATAAGATGTGGCCATGTGTCTTGGTTCTCATTGGTGCTTTTCAGTAAAGGTTGCGGGGTAAGCATTGACCTTGTGGTTATATCATAATAGCAGATGCAGGGGTTTTTTTTCATGTTAATTGTAAATATATCATTAATTATAACTAACCTTTGCTCTTTTCCTTTAACTAACTACATTATTTAACTCTGGGGTGCATTTTGGGGCAGTATTATTTAATATTGTTATGTATTGAATGGTGCTGATTATGCTTTAATGGACTGAATGGTATTATATATAAGCTATATCAAATAGTGAATCTAAAGCATTTTGAAAGACTACACAAAATTAAGTTACTGCTGGGAAAATTAATTTCTTTTTTTGTCAACCCATCAAGATGCTTTCTAATAAACGTGATATGAACATGTCCTTCATTGTAGGATGTTGGGATGTACGCCCTTCATGATTGTGTCCTATTTCTTCATGTGGTACTTGCCTCCTTTTGTAGCGGGAAGAGTTGTGTGGTACCTGACTTTCTATTGTCTTTTCCAAGCATTGACCACAGTAAGTAGATCTAGATTTACAACATTCTCAGCAATAAAATGCTTTCATTTTCTGGCTTTGCTTTATGTGCCTTCTGATTTAGTGTGTTGGGGGTTTTTTGCACCCAGTTTGCACTTTGACTTTCAGTGAGACTTAGAGTTCTAAGTGCTGAAGCTATTTTTGAAAATGAGATTTAGGTATCTAAGTCACTTATTGCTTTTAGAAGGCAATGGACAATCAGGCCCTCAGTTGTGAAGTAGTTTCTAATAGTCTTTCTTGGATATCCCTGGATGGAGAGGCTTGACTTCTCCACGTTGATTTTAACATGAAGGGACCTTGCACCAGGCTAGTGGCAATATGTAATTTATGTAGCATCTTTCATGTCAGTGGATTCCAAAGCACTTTTCTGACAGACTGCACACCAGGGGTAATCAATAAGTGGACTGCGGGCCAAATCTGGACCACCAGACACTTTTGAAGGGACCCCAAAATCTTCTTATTTAGTTATTGTTATCATTATCGCCAGGACTTAAATTCAGCTGAAGCTGTATATTTCAACCCACCTGGAGTTTCTAAAGCATGTTGGGGGGCTCCAGGAATTACTCTGTCAGAATTTAAGCCCTAATTATCCTTATTTTTTTAATTATTTTCTCTGGAGTCTGGAGCTTTACTGTACCTTGACCAAGAAATTTGGACCTTGACAAAAAATAATTGACTACCCCTGCATGCTATACACATATGGGGTTCACTTCACCCATCACTGAATTGCAGCCACTATTAAGGTGAAACATGGTATCTGTTTAGCAGCACAGAGCAAATCTGTGCAGCAGTTTAGGACAGAAAGTGAAGAATCACATACAACTTGATTTTCAGGGGAAGTCAGGTAGGCCCAATGTAGTTTTCCAGCACATGGATTTTTGCCAGCACATTGGACTTAACGGCTCTCCTCTTGTAACAAGTGCTGTCGGATCTGTTAGGGATGCTTAAGTTTACATCTCATACAAAATATTGTAGCTTCAAAAGTTCATGCACCTAACAACCTGCTGGCATGCTGCTGATTCAGAGCTTGTCTACACAGCAAGTTACTGCACTGCAAGCCAGGGTGCGGATCTACAGAGCAGCACATGGATGCTGCTGCAGCCCAGGGAAAGTCCTGGAGTAGTACATTCACAACTAAGCCATGCTCCAGAATTTTCACTGTGTTGTAGCAGTGCCATTACTGTATGGAAAGCTGGTGCGCTGTGGATTCACACCCTGGGCTTTCAGCACAGTAACTTGTGTAGACAAGCCCTCGGAGGAGTTCCACCTGTGGCATTCCATCAATACCACTTTCTACAGCACGTGGGCTTTCCTAGAGCAGAGTCTCTCGGTCTGTGGTAAGCTGAGTCCAGGTGACGTGCAAAACAAAACTAGGTTGTGAGAGGAGACATGCACAGGAGTGGGCATGTGTGTATGTGAATCTCTGTTACAAAGTAATCTGCAGATTTAAAAAGCTGGAAAAGCACTAGCTGAGAGCTCTCTGTCCAAATATCAACCTGGCCTGACCGGGCTTAGCTGATTAAATCTCATCTACATCACAGTTTAAAGTAGTGTGGCTGCAGGCCACCAAAATACTTGAACTCCTTAGTGACTTGGACTTTTGTCACTCATGCAGATCATTTGAAGTTTAAGGGTCTGCTATATTTCAGTTTTTGTTTGGGGTATTTGCTCAATTCCTTGTTATTTTCTATGATGATAGATTGTCATTAAGAAACCCACAGTGAGTTTAGATGAGGAAGAATTTTATTCCCTGTCTTTTGAAGGAAAAGATCTACTCCGCCCTTGTAAAATGCTATTCGTGATTTCAGCTTTAAAGCCTGTTTGTACTGAACAAAAAGAAAAGGAGGACTTGTGGCACCTTAGAGACTAACCAATTTGTTTGAGCGTAAGCTTTTGTGAGCTACAGCTCAATTCATCGGATCCGAGGAGTTGAGCTGTAGCTAACAAAAGCTTATGCTCAAACAAATTGATTAGTCTCTAAGGTGCCACAAGTACTCCTTTTCTTTTTGCGGATACAGACAAACACGGCTGCTACTCTGAAACCTGTCTTTGTACTGAACGTAAGGCATCAGGGCTAGTCAGAAAGAAGGTTTTAGTTACAGCTCAGTAAGAAAACATCAACATTTGCCACATGTAACAGAGGCAAGTATGCACTTTGCATGAGCAGGGTACCATATGTGCTTCCCAGACGTGTTCTCTCCTATTTTATCACATAAAGGGACAAAGGATAGTCCTGTTGGTTTAAAGCATAAGATTGGGAGTCAAGAGGTCTGGTTTTTCTTTTCAGCTTTGCCGAAGACCAGCTCTGTGAATCTGGGCAACTGGTTTAATCTCTGTGCCTCTGTTTTCCCTTTAATAAAATAGGAATATTATTACTTACTTACCTTATAAAGAGGGGTAGTGGTGTGTATTTATTTACATAGCATTGGAAGCTTATTAGGTGCTTCCGATAAATATATAGGCGAGGTCACTGTCTGGAAGGGTTTGCCATCTAAATAGGCAACAGAGAATAGGATGGCTAGGGACAAGAATAAATGCTAGAGCTGGAATACTTAGCTTATGTGTTGTTTCAAAATTTTGGAAGTGATTTTTGTTTTAGTTTAAAACTTCGAGGTGAGAATTTACCCTATATCTTTACTGCCAAAAAGGTCTGTGTTTTACAGCAAGATAACTAATACTCTCCTACTAGGAAATGCTAGTGGTAACAAAACTCTGTAGCATTTACCACAGTGTAGCTGCGTGAGGCCAGCCATGAGTGGTGTGGTTATAGTGCTGACCTAACCTAGCTACATCACAGAAAAAACTACTGAGCCTTTTGGCCAGTAGGATTTTTCTTGGGATAACTAACACGCAGTATTTATCTTGCTGTAAAACAAACAAAAAGACTTTCTTGGCCATGAAGACATAGCCTTAGGCAGTGTCTTCACCAGGAAAAAAGGTGCGTTCTTTGTGATCACTAGGATTTTACGTCATGTTAATTAAGTTAAGAACACAGCTTTTTTCCTACTGAAGACAATCCCTAAGGGTTTTTGGCATCCTGAAAGCAGAGTGGTTTTTAAGGAGGACGTTAAAGGGGCACAAAGCGGAGGCATGGTGTACTGGGTAAGTTATTTATTATTTATGTGACCATAGCACCTAGGAGCCCCAGTCATGGACCAGGACCCGATTGTGCTAGATGCTGGATAAACACAGAGAAAAAAAAAAAGACAGTTCCTGCTCCTGAGCTCTTATAGTCTGGGTAAGGGAGCAAATTCCTGTGCCCAATTACACATTGTTCCAGGCAATCAGAGGAACTGAGTACACTACCCTGTAATGCTTTCCTATGTGGTATTCTTTCTTTGTGTAGTTATTCCAAGTACCGTATTCTGCTCTCACCATGTTTCTCAGCCCAGACCAGAAGGAGAGAGATTCAGCAACAGCATACCGTGAGTTTGACATGGGCTTCCTGTTTTAAATTGAATGTCTTAGTTTGGTTAAAATCCCTTTTATTAGAAGAAGTCTCCTGACATTTGTGTGGCCTAATATTGGGTTTCTAGACTAAGAACTATTAGGCTCTGATGGAAAAATGGGGCATCATAGGATTTTTTTTAATGTGCCTTGTAAATATTTCCATCTTCCTGCATGTTTTAAAACTATTAGCCTATCGGATTAGCCACAGACTTTCTTCTCAAGACATAAGTTAGCCACAAGAAACTACTCTTATCTATAGTGTTTTCTGGATTTCTAAAGCCAGTTGTTACTGTATGAGTAATGGTTGCTAATTATAGGTGATCTGCAGAGGGGAAAAATGGGTGTTGATTATTTTTATAATGACACTTAAATAAGGCCTGAAAGTCTCTCTTTTTTTCTTTTTGCCTTTGGATATTTTATAGTAGAAATTCAGGTCTTGTCTAATCCGTTTTTCATAGAAGACTTTCTGGGTGACAGGACGGCTGGTAGACTTGACATCATAGAACCAAGAAAATTAAATGTGACCAAGAATGAAAGTGACTGTCTAAAAATTATCTATCTTGTTTTGGTTACACTCGTTCAACTGTAACACCTATCAAATATTTTGAAAGAAAGACCTCTGTTAAAACAGTCAGTTGATCATAGAATCATATAAATGTAGGGCTGGAAGGGAACTTGAGATGTCATCTAGTCCAGCCCCTTGCTGAGGCAGGACCAAGTATAGACCTCTTGTCTTCCAAAGAGTTCTCCAGGAAAACCATACAAGACTCGCTGTTCCTTTTGTTTTGAAACTAAAGGGAAAAAAAGCCTTAACCCCCCCCTTTCAAGCTCATAAAGAACAAATAAGGGCACAGTTAATTCTTCCTCCTCTTCACATCAACTTGAAAGTTGTCATTCCTCCCCCCACCCCCCGGCTCTCTCCCCCTTATACGTGAGTAAAACAGTCCATTCCTAGATATCCCGGCCAAGGGCAGTGAAAGTGAAGAGAAAGGCCTGCTATTTTCCTTGGGCCAAATTACTCAAGCACTACATGAAAAACTACGTCTTGACTTGCCCTTCAATATTCCCTTAGTGTGCAAGGAATTACTTAGCAGATTTTGGGGGGGGGATTGCTTTTGGTTTTTTTTATTTTATTTTAATTTTCCCCTGGTTGTGCTTGTTTTCTTGCTCGCAAGAGGCTTTCTTCCTCCATTTGTCAATCTAATCCTCAACATACTGGCTAGGCTAAGTGTAAAACAAAACTGTGTATGCAGAATGGTATGGCCAAGATTTTGAACAGACACAAATCTGAAATTTCAGAATTGTGGTACCCACAGAATCCATAACTCTTCCCTGAAGTGTGGTACATATGTGATATTTCATGTTATCTAGTATTTCAACAGGAAGCATGGTCTAGTAATTAAACGGCAGGATTGGGAATTGGGAGATCAGAGTTCTGTTCATACAGACAGACTGTGGGAGAAAAGGGAATAAACTTTGGGAAAGTCACTTAAACAGTATGCCTCAATTCCCATCTGCAAATTTAGCATAATACTTACCTCGCAGGTACTGTACATGAATATCTTTGAACTCCTGAAGGGCAGCATGTACAGACATAGTTATCTTATTGTTTATGATTGAGTCTTATATGTCCAGTTATGCAGTGCAGCCAAGTTATGGCGGTGGCATGAATAATAACTTTGAATTTCCTGACTTGTGTGTGGTTTTTTTTTTTAATATTTCTTTGGCGCTGAGATTTCTTGCAGTGCTGTCGTTGACAAGGGAAATGGTCTCTTTTTACAAGGTCTTCTCAGAAACATTCTCCTCTTGCTCCTCTGCACAATTCAAAGATCACTGTTTTTGTTTGTAGCTTCTAGACCATCAGCTAAAGGAATCTGTTAAAGAAAAAAATGCAATGTAATATATGCTAGTGTGTTTTTTTAATAACATTGAGGCTATGGCTACACTACAGCTTAAGTTGACATAAATTATGTCACTCAGGCGTGTGAATTAGCCACCCTTCTGAGCAAAATAATTTATGCCGACTTAAGCGCTGGTGTGGGTAGTGATATGTTGGTGGGAGAGCTTCTCCTGCTGCCATAGCTACTGCTGCTCATTCGTGGGGGCTGGAGTAATTAAGCAGGCAGGAGAGCTCTCTATTGTAGCCATAACCTGAGAAACAGAGGTATCACTGCCCTCTACTGGGAGAAGTAGAACTCCGTAACCATGTCAGTTCTATACTGCTGCCCACTATTCAAATGCATGACAAAGGTAGATACTTTCAAAGTTATTTTAAGGCAAGTTCTGCTTAAATTTAAGAAGTAGAACCCACCTTAAAACAGCTTTGAAAGTGCTATTTTCTTGGCTAAGCTAGAAATTAACCATTAAAATTTAAGAGAATATACAACTTCGAAAAAAGAAAAGGAGTACTTGTGGCACCTTAGAGGCTAACCAATTTCTTGTTAACTGCTGGAAATGGCCCACCTTGATTATCACTACAAAAGGTTTTCTCCCCTCCCCCCCCTGCTGGTAATAGCTCATCTTAAGTGATCACTCTCCTTACAGTGTGTATGATAACACCCATTTTTTCATGTTCTGTGTGTATATAAATCTCCTCACTGTATTTTCCACTGAATGCATCCGATGAAGTGAGCTGTAGCTCACGAAAGCTTAAGCTGAAATAAATTGGTTAGTCTCTAAGGTGCCACAAGTCCTCCTTTTCTTTTTGTGAATACAGACTAACATGGCTGCTACTCTGAAACCTACAACTTTGAAATATGCCACATTTTCAGCCTGACATGTCTTAGAAAAGAAAATGCGTTTGCAGGGGAATTTCTATGGCATCTTATGATGGCTTTCTTCTTATCGTATGCAAGCATTAGGTACAGCACTCCTTCACTTTAGAGGTTACAAATGAAGAGGTGGCATTATGATACAATGCGGTGACTCATCTGTAGTTACCCATTGCACCAGATGCTCAGTGATTTTTGAAGCTGTCCATGGCATATCCAATTGAAATCTTAGATTGGGTTACAGCCAAATATTTTAGGTCAGACTCATGTTTGGATCTGGGCTAGCCAGCATTTTTGGGCAGCCAGTCGAGTTGGGAGTGAAATTTGGGGTTGGTGACTTAACCTGAACCAAGAAAACACGTCAGGTGTCCCATAAGATCACATCCTCCATTCCATGGTCCTCTCTCTTTGAGAAGATAGCAGCAGTTGTTGGAAAGTCCCACACTGAGAAGAATGAAAGCTCAAAACAGGAAGCCTCTCTGTCTCTCTTAAGTAATGGCTCTGCACCATCTTTCATCTAAGCCCAAACAAGAGTACTTATAACACACATTTGAAACAAAAATGCTCTTTACACAAATCAGAAACTATCTCTTTAAGTCATGCATGTTTGGAAACTGAATCCAGTTTGATGAGATGCAATAAAAAGAAACCTGAATTTCGGATTTGTGCTCAGCATAGCAGACTTTAAGTCAGTAATGGCTAAGCAACCCAGTTTAGGGGGAAAGAGGATGCTATAGCTATATTGATTATGCATCACTTAGAGTCAGTGATGGTCCATGGATCACAGTTTGAGAAACGATGAACTAGGCAAACATGGCATTATAAAATAACAGAACTGATTGGCTTCATCTCTCTGGAGGCTTTTCACTTAATGCTATAATGCTGAGATGTAATGGACCTATCATTCTCTAGATCCTTAAAATGATGCTGCTCTTAAGATACTTGTCTCAGTGGCGGAAGTAACTCCTGTCCCAAGACAGGAGAACAAGTCAGTTAATTCACATAGGTCATTTCCTATGCAGACAGAAGGAGAGTATTTAGATACCCTGGAGCTTTTGGGCTGATAGAGGGGGTGGTATTCAATTTTGTGATGGCATCAGCTGCTGTCGTCACCAGTAGAAGTTGCTCCGATTAAAAACCACAAAACAAAACACAAAGAGGCCCAACACACATGTGCAGTTAACACAGTCACATGCACGCAGTTCTAAAAGTCTGGCCCTCAGTCACTTTAGATATTAAAACTTAGAGCATACGGGCTTCATGTTCTTCACAAACATCAACTGAGATTGATAGGGTGACTGTGAGGTAGGTAAGTATCCATCCCATTTACAGTTAGAAAAACTGGGTACAGAGAGGGTAGGTGACTTGCTAAAGTCACTATCAGACCCAGGATTAGAACACAGGTGTTCTGGCTCCCAGTCCTGTGCTCAGAAAATGCCTCTCAGCATTTAAGCTATATTTTAACTGTGGTCCCCTACATACTTTAGCCCCAGCCATATAGATCTTACATATGTTCTATAGTAATATAGAGGTGGTCAGAGGTGGAATTTCAACTCCATCAAGGGATGCTGACCAGTTGTAACTGAAGTTCAAGTTCTGCTGGTTTTGTTGTTGCCATTTGTGAATGTTCCCTATGTAAAAGGAACATCACTTGCCTCAGTCAGTTTGCTCTTTAGTGAGAGAAACAGCAAGGCTCAGTAACAGCGGGTGAAACAAGCTCACTTCCTAACACATGTTCCTGCTTCCCGTTATAGGAATGACCGTGGAAGTGCTTGGAACCTTGATGGGAGCTGCGCTCCACGGACAGATTGTGGCAAGCGCCCATGCCTCTGATCACTGCACCGTGAATCTCACCATACACGCTGCTGACTCTTCCAGCTCTCTAAGCAACGCTTCCAACCTTGCTGGGTCTTTGGGCCTCCAGTCTCATGGAGTAAGTGCATGCGGTACGGGGAAACTAAACCCTAGGGGAGGTTTCAATGGTGTTACAGCACATCATCCTGCGGGGATATACACGAGGCTGACATGCTTAAGGTTGGTGACATCAGAACCAAGATAGACACCTCATTTTGAACAAGCCCTCCTGTCTGTTCTCTTTTTAATTGCTTCTTGGTAGGACAACCAAATTATGCCGAGGAGCTTTGCTGAAGATGCTGAGACATATGGCTGCTGAGGAGGTCTATGGCCACCTTTTCTCTCCCCTAAAGACTGGCTTGCTGTTTAAAATAGAAGCCTAATTAGTAGGGCTGTCAATTAGCTGCCATTAACGCATGCGATTAATGCACAGCACACTTAACGCATTAATTTTTTTAACATGCGTTAATCGCAGACCCTCTGGGTAAGAGGGCTGCATCAGCTGTTGTAGAGAACCTATGTCCGGTCAGGAGCAGTAATGCAAGCTGCATTCGGAGGGCGGGAAGAGAAGAAGCTACAGAAAGACGTGGTTCTCATCCCGGCTGCGGAGAAGTAGAGATCTTGACACACACACCCCCCGCCCCAGGGTGACTATATTTCTTAAACTAAAAACAGGACAAACAGGTGCTCACCCGAGCTGCCTGCGCCCCCTCCCCCGACCTGGCAGGGCTCACCTGAGCCACCCTCTCCATACCTCCCGGGGCTGGGACTAACTCCCCCCACCCCGTGCTCCTGCATCTGAGGCTCACTCCCCCAAGCTCCCCATTGCCCACAGTGGGGTCTCCCCCTGCCCCACCTGTATGCCACCCACAGCTGGGACTAGGGCTGACCCCCACTCCTGAGCCCCATGGGGCTGACCCCAAGCCCCGGACCACCTGGGGCTGATGCTGACCCCCCCAGCTCCGAGCCCCGTGCCACCCGCCTCTGGGGCTGAATCCGCCCCCATAGCTCCGCAGTGCCCATGGCTGGGGCTCAATCCCCCCTGAGTCCTGTGCCACCTGCAGCTGGGGGCTGATCCCTCCCCCAAGCGCTGCGCCTCCCCCAGCTGAGGCTGATTTCCCCCCCGGGCTCTGCACCACCCAGGAGTCAGCTCTGAAGCCAGCACTGCCTGCCAGCGGCAAATTTCTCCATTTCCGGCGGGCGGGCAGGGCTGCCTTCAGCTTACCCCAGGCAGCAGCTGCCTCTCTCTGCTCTGCCTTGCAGCTGGGACAAATGCCCAGTTTTGGCGAAGAAGTGGGAACGGCCCGGGCAGAGCTGAAAAAGGGGCCTGTCCTGGCCAAAACGGGATGTATCATCACCCTAGCCAGGCCAGGCCCTATTGTTCCTGGCCGGCCCCCCATTCCCGGGACCAACCCCCCGGGTCATGCCCCATTGCCCCTAGCTCGCCGCTCAGTCTGGGGGTACCCCATAGAGCAGTGTTTCCCACACTTGGGACACTGTTAGGGGGCTTATTCCTTCACCCACTTACTTCCCTGGTCCTTCTCGCATGAACAGAGAGCAACAATACCCGAAGTCCAAAGGTGCAAACAATTCGATGTTTATTGGGGTGAACTTCCAGCAAGCATGATTCCAGTTTCCTTCCTTAGTATCCTCCTTCCCAGCTCTGACACCACAGAGCCTTACACCTGTGTCCCTGTTCCCATTCCTACCCTTAGCCAAACATGATTCCAACTTCCTTACTCCCATTCCCTGTTCCCATTTCCCCCTTTAGCAAAAAATGATTCCAATTTTCTTACCCCCATTCCCTGTTCCCATCTCCCTAACCCACATGCCCACCCCCACCCACACCCAGTCACTTCCTCATTGACTACAGATTATATAGTAAAACTTGAGTTTTGCTTAGCTATACCTTAACCAATCATTTTCCTGAAATTTAACTAACCAATCCTAACATATTGTAACATGATTATGTAACCAATTATATCCCACCACCTTAATTAGTTTACACCCAGCAAAATTAATTATACAGCAGACAGGAACAATCACAGAACCAGACAGAGATTATACAGACAAACAACAGCAAAGTGGGAACTACAATGACAAGACAACACAGAAGCGAGGATTTCACATCCCAGCTATTGATAAGTGAGTTCTTGCCAGACAGGATGCTATCAAACTAAGTTTCCTTTTACATTTTCTAGGCACTTCCCTTTCTCTGGAGGTGATAGGAACTATCAGGACAGGATTGTATTCCTAACAGCCGAATAGCACCTTATTTCAGTGTGACTAGTTTGGAATGTGAGGATGTGACTGTTTGCTTCCCAACTTATAGCTGCCTCTGCTGCTTAGCTTAAGGCCTTAGCCTAAGAACAGGGCCTCAGACTGTCACAGTAAGAGAAGGCCCTTACACCAGCAGACAGTGATTTTGATTCTTTCTTTTATACCTCTATCACTAGCCAAGTGATAAGAATACACCTAAATTCTTAGAGTATAGGCCTTTACAGACAGGCCTGAATATCTATATCCTAACAGACACTGCTTATGCAGGGAAAGCCCCTGGCGGGCCAGGCCGGTTTGCTTACCTGCCACATCCGCAGGTTCGGCCAATCGCGGCACCCATTGGCCGTGGTTCGCTGTGCCCGGCCAATGGGGGCTGTGGGAAGTGGCGCGGGCCAAGGGACATACCAGCCGCCGCTTCCCGTAGCCCCCAGTGGCCAGGCACAACGAACCACGGCCAGTGGGAGCCGCGATCGGCCGAACCTCTGGACGCGGCAGGTAAACAAACCAGCTGGTCCTGCCCGGGGCTTTCCCTGAACCAGTGGCGTCCCAAGTTTGGGAAACACTGCCATAGAGAATGTGGGCCTGGCGAGCTAAGCCTCCCTGCACCAGCCTTTCCTCCCCTGCAGTACGATGAGTCCCTGAGGTAAAATCCACCCTCCCTTGCAAACAAGGACTCACTCAGCTGAAGGGAGCCCACCTAGCTCAGTAAATGGAGGTGAGCCCAGTACCAGAAACCACCCTTCCAGAAGCAGCAACAAGACACCTCCCTGACCCTCCTCCGGCACAAATCATTGCTTACTTCCCCCCTCCCCTGTCCTCCCCCAACACTGAATGCTTGTTTGTCTGAGCGATTGGCTGAACAAGAAGTAGGACTGAGTGGACTTGCAGGCTCTAAAGTTTTACATTGTTTTATGGTTACATGCAGTTACTCTTTTTTACAAATTCTACATTTGTGAGTTCAACGTTCATGATAAAGATTGCACTACAGTACTTCAATGAGGTGAATTGAAGTTTCTTTTTTTACAGTGCAAATGTTTGTAATAAAAATAAATATAAAGTGAGCACTGTACACTTCGTATTCTGTGTTGTAACTGAAATCAATATTTTTGAAAATGTAGAAAACATCAAAAAATATTTAAATAAGTGGTATTCTGTTATTGTTTAACAGTGCGATTAATCGCGATACATTTTTTTAATCACTTGACAGCCCTACTAATTAGCAAAAAATAATTATTCTAGCAGTTGCAGCTTTTAGCCCAGCTGGACAGGATACATTTTGCAAAGCAGCAACTGGGGATTAATTTCATGGAGCCCATCCAGAAAGTTAATGAGAGGCATATGTCTAGAATCCTGTGTGCTGCTTTGAATGTTTATCCTTGCCAGTGTACAAGAGCTATGAATATGGAGGGGGTTTTAGCATGAATCCAGTGGAAGGGGGGCTTTGTGGCTAAGGCACGGAGTGGGACCCAGTGGAGCTAGGCTGTAGAGTTTCTCTGTAACCTTGGACAAGTCACTTAATCATTCTCTGTTTCAGTTCCCCATTTGTGGAGAAATGGAGGCCATTTGTAACTGAGGGGGAAGAAGAGGCAGTTAATGCCTGTCAAGGTTCCTCCCCCACTCTGAACTCTAGGGTACAGATGTGGGGACCTGCATGAAAAACCTCCTAAGCTTATCTTTACCAGCTTAGGTCAAAACTTCTCCAAGGTACAAAATATTCCACCCTTTGTCCTTGGATTGGCCGCTACCACCACCAAACTAATACTGGTTACTGGGGAAGAGCTGTTTGGACGCGTCTTTCCCCCCAAAATACTTCCCAAAACCTTGCACCCCACTTCCTGGACAAGGTTTGGTAAAAAGCCTCACCAATTTGCCTAGGTGACTACAGACCCAGACCCTTGGATCTTAAGAACAATGAACAATCCTCCCAACACTTGCACTCCCCCCTTTCCTGGGAAATGTTGGATAAAAAGCCTCACCAATTTGCATAGGTGACCACAGACCCAAACCCTTGGATCTGAGAACAATGAAAAAGCATTCAGTTTTCTTACAAGAAGACTTTTAATAAAAATAGAAGTAAATAGAAATAAAGAAATGCCCCCTGTAAAATCAGGATGGTAGATACCTTACAGGGTAATTAGATTCAAAACATAGAGAACCCCTCTAGGCAAAACCTTAAGTTACAAAAAAGATACACAGACAGAAATAGTTATTCTATTCAGCACAATTCTTTTCTCAGCCATTTAAAGAAATCATAATCTAACACGTACCTAGCTAGATTACTTACTAAAAGTTCTAAGACTCCATTCCTGGTCTATCCCCGGCCAAGACAGCATATAGACAGACACACAGACCCTTTGTTTCTCTCCCTCCTCCCAGCTTTTGAAAGTATCTTGTCTCCTCATTGGTCATTTTGGTCAGGTGCCAGCGAGGTTACCTTTAGCTTCTTAACCCTTTACAGGTGAGAGGAGCTTTCCCCTGGCCAGGAGGGATTTCAAAGGGGTTTACCCTTCCCTTTATATTTATGACAATGCCTAAGGCCTGATCTAAAGCCCACTGAAGTCAGCTGAAAGTCTCCCATTATGTTTGATAGGTTTTGGATTGGACCATTAGTCTTGAGCACTGGGTTTTTGTCACGTCTTGAGTTATTAGTGAAACAGCTAGCTTGTAAGGTTGTGACACAGTTACTACTGCTACTTGCTGTACCTGCTCTATGACTGTTACTATTTACATTGATCTGATCTGTCCATTTATCTGTCAGCTGTGACTGGCTCCCTCCAAGGGAGACATCCTTGACCTGAT